TGTTTTCTTGTACTTTTAAGCCACTCAGATACCCAACGGGCTCGGAAAGTGCAACGAAACCATCAAATTTTAGCTAGAAACTGTATTTTTGTCGATTTTTATTGAATTTGAACTATATTTCAACGATTTTTGATGGTTCTGAGCCACCAAACACACTTAAAGCATGCAGAATCGACTCAGAATAGGAAAAGGAGACGTTTAGGTCAATTTTATGCATTCTGGCGTTCGTAGATACAAGAAAACTGTTAAAATTCTTCAGAAACGTCACTTTTGAAGTGTTTTCTTGTACTTTTAAGCCACTCAGATACCCTATGGGCTCGGAAAGTGCAACGAAACCATCAAATTTTAGCTAGAAACTGTATTTTTGTCGATTTTTATTGAATTTGAACTATATTTCAACGATTTTTGATGGTTCTGAGCCACCAAACACACTTAAAGCATGCAGAATCGACTCAGAATAGGAAAAGGAGACGTTTAGGTCAATTTTATGCATTCTGGCGTTCGTAGATACAAGAAAACTGTTAAAGTTCTTCAGAAACGTCACTTTTGAAGTGTTTTCTTGTACTTTTAAGCCACTCAGATACCCTACGGGCTCGGAAAGTGCAACGAAACCATCAAATTTTAGCTAGAAACTGTATTTTTGTCGATTTTTATTGAATTTGAACTATATTTCAACGATTTTTGATGGTTCTGAGACACCAAACACACTTAAAGCATGCAGAATCGACTCAGAATAGGAAAAGGAGACGTTTAGGTCAATTTTATGCATTCTGGCGTTCGTAGATACAAGAAAACTGTTAAAATTCTTCAGAAACGTCACTTTTGAAGTGTTTTCTTGTACTTTTAAGCCACTCAGATACCCAATGGGCTCGGAAAGTGCAACGAAACCATCAAATTTTAGCTAGAAACTGTATTTTTGGCGATTTTTATTGAATTTGAACTATATTTCAACGATTTTTGATGGTTCTGAGCCACCAAACACACTTAAAGCATGCAGAATCGACTCAGAATAGGAAAAGGAGACGTTTAGGTCAATTTTATGCATTCTGGCGTTCGTAGATACAAGAAAACTGTTAAAATTCTTCAGAAACGTCACTTTTGAAGTGTTTTCTTGTACTTTTAAGCCACTCAGATACCCTACGGGCTCGGAAAGTGCAACGAAACCATCAAATTTTAGCTAGAAACTGTATGTTAGCGCCATCTATCGGCGGCATAACAGAGAGAGAGAGAGCGGTGCGCGGTTTTAAGAGTACGAGTACGACCCTTTGACGTTTAACGTGCGCGTGCAATAAGGGACGCGTAGAAAAAGACACGAGGTGAAACCCGCTGGCGCCAGCAGAAGACGCAAGACAACCACCCCGAGTCTCATCCTCTTCTCCAAGAAAACTCATCCACCAGGTAGGATTTTCATCCCTCTTATATTTCTTCATCTCAACTCAAATAAATTGGCTAGTTGCCTCGCTCGCAACATATTGGTCCTTCGAGCCGGATCATTCCTCTGAATACAGTCCATTTCGCAATACATGTTGTTTAAATCATTCATTTCTGGTAGTTTTTGCTCTCTTTATCGTACCCGGCGACAGTCGAAGTTTTTCTTCACTCGAGCATCCTTATCGCAAACCGCTTTTTGTCTCCTCGTTGCTTATTGGTTTGTTTACAATTCAATCGTGTGATTTGTTTACAAAATGCCCACACCCGAAGAAATCCTTACCGAGCTGGAGGGATTACGCATTAAACGTGAATCACTATTTGCTAGAATTCAGAACGTTCTGGATTCTTCTCGAACCCTAACCTCAGAAAATGTTCGCTTGTTTCGACCTCGAATTGATAAATTAGTGGAATTGGAGGCAGGATTTGAGGGAATTCAAGATCAAATAATCGACCGCAATTCGCAAATAAAAATTGCTGCAGATAAATTGGAGGTTCTAAATGTCCAAAAAGCATGTGATAATATCATCTACGAAGTTCGTGGAAAATATATGGATCTGATTCGAAGTATGCCAGCCTCGAGCGATACCAGTTCAGCCCCACACACTTCCACGACTAGCAAATCCTCTCTACCTAATATTGCCATTCCAAAGTTCAGCGGAAAGATCGAAGATTGGAATAATTTTATTTCTTTGTTTACTTCAATTATTCACAAAAACGCAACGCTTTCATCAGCGGAGAAATTTGTTTATTTGCGATCACTGCTTCATTCCGACGCATTAGCAGTCATTTCGGCGCTCGAAGTCACTCCCGAAAATTACGACCTTGCCTTCGCAGCTCTACAAAATCGTTACCAAAACAAAAGAAGACTCGCCATTCATTATCTTTCCCAAATCAAAAATTTTACTGGTTCATCTTTGAACACCCGCAACGGCCTTCAACACTTTCTCAACATTCACTCAAACTCCATAAACGCTTTGAGAGCTCTGAATATTCCCGATCTTGCTGACTTTCTCTTGTTCCAAATGGTTTCTGAAAACCTTGATACGAATATTCGTAAAGCCTTTGAAGCCAAAATACAGAGTAACAGCATTCCCACGTATAAAGAATTAATCGACTTCGTAACAGAACAATGCAAGACATTTGAAGTTGTCGGCGCTGCTGAAACCTCCAACACGAGCAAATCGCGCTTAAAATCTCTACCATCTAAGCGCCCCAACTCTTTCCTTACTAAAACGAAGGAAAATAATAGCCCTGGAAGCTCTCGAAAGGGACTACCACCTGCACCGACGTGTCCATTATGCCAAAGTAGTCATTCACTATCACGTTGTGAAGAATTTCTCGCCCAAGGTATCCAACAAAAATATGATACGATAAAATCTCTCAAACGATGTTTCAACTGCCTGGGTAACCATTTCCTAACCTCTTGTGCTTCTACAAATACGTGTAAACACTGCAATGGCAAACATCACACACTCTTGCATGCAGAGAAGGACAGTACAAAGGAAATTCCACCGAATAGTACTACTGTAACACTATCCTGTCGAACTACGAACAACCTGCTTCCCCATCATGTCTTATTAGGAACAGTACAGCTTTTTATTCAAGATGAAGCTGGAATCTTTTGGCCAATTCGAGCAGTTGTTGATCCTGGATCGCAAATCTCCGCGATAACTTTAAGAACAGTGAACAGATTGGGTCTTAGGCGATCGCAAGCAAAAAATATCGAGGTAAGTGGTATATCAGGATCATACACAAAAACCCAAGGAATAGTGAACTGCATTTTACGTTCCAAATATTCATCTGAAAGTCTCAAGGTCAATGCTGTGGTGTTAACATCCATCGCCAATAAATTGCCTACGCTTCCTCTACCAACTTCTATTCGTCAAAAATTTATGGAAATCGACCTTGCCGATTCTTCCTTTGATCAACCTTCAAAAATAGATTTTCTTATCGGTGCAGATATTTACCCACATATTTTATCACCTCATTCACCACATATAATTTCCGGGAATCCTTCTGCGATTCGAACACTTTTTGGTTGGATAATAATGGGAAACACCTCAATAGAACACCCTACTACCTCTTCAGTTTCGTTACTCGTCGTCAACCCTTCACTGGATTCTTTATTACGACAATTCTGGGAGCAAGAAGAAATTGAGATTTCAAAACCTGTTAATCCTGATGACGTATTTTGTGAAGAACACTTTCTTCAAACCCACTCTCGTGATGCTTCTGGCAGATATTCTGTGTCTTTACCCTTCAAAAAAGGATGTACTTCCCTTGGTGTAAATAGACACATTGCCATGAAGAGCTTCTTTAACTTGGAAAAGCGTTTACATAAACAACCCGGAACCGAAGCGCCGTATCAAGCCTTCCTTACTGAATATGAAGATCTACGCCACATGAATGTCATTACAAAGCCATCGTCCTACATTTTGCCTCACCATTGTGTTTTCAAGCAAACGAGTTCTTCCACTAAAATAAGAGTCGTTTTCAATGGATCAGCTCTCGATTCCAAAGGAAGCTCATTAAACGAACGCTTACTACCCGGCCCTAAACTGCAAAATGATTTGTCCGATATTTTGATATCTTTTCGAGTTCACGAAGTTGCCATTTGCGCTGATATCCGCATGATGTACCGGCAAATCATGCTAGTACCTCAAGATCGACAGTTCAACCATATCTTTTGGAGATCAAAACCCAACCTTCCTGTCCAAGAGTATGAGCTTAATACCGTTACTTATGGACTAACCTCATCCGCATATCTCGCACAGAGAGTTCTTCATCAATTAGTCACTGATGAAGGAGCACAATATCCTCTCGCCTCAAATGCATTGATTGCGCACAGTTATGTGGACGATATTGTGACTGGAGCTGCTTCAATGAAAGAAGCGGAAAAGCTTAAAACCGAACTGATTAACCTTTTGTCCAAAGGTGGATTCGAGCTAAGAAAATGGTGCAGCAACCTTCCTGAATCACTGAATTCTCTGCCTGCACAGTATCTTGAAAATCCCATAGTATTTTCGACAGAAGAATCTGCATTTAAAATTCTTGGGCTCATGTGGGAACCAAATTCGGACAATTTCACATACCACACTCATCAATTTCAAGGTCCTTCCACGAAAAGAACTATTCTCTCTTACATCTCTCAGATTTTTGATCCTCTCGGCTGGTTGACGCCCGTGGTTTTTTGGGCTAAACATTTCTTACAACAATTATGGCTCTTTCAGTGTGATTGGGACGAACCGCTGAATCCAATTCTCCGACATCAATGGGAGACATTTGTTGCAGAAATCCACCTTCTCCAATAAATCAAGATTCCAAGAAAATTCCCAAATGATTATCAGCAACTCCTATTAATAGGCTTCTGCGATGCTTCCCAAAAGGGGTTCGCCGCGTGTATTTACCTCTGTTTCTTACGTGACAGCTCTAATTACACCATACTTCTCAAAGCAAAGAGCAAAGTTGCACCCCTCACACCGCTAAGCATTCCTCGCCTTGAACTCTCAGGAGCACTGCTGTTAGCGAAGTTATTTGTCTCCGTTCGAAAATCTCTTTCTACTTTCAAGATGGAAGAAACTCTACTATACACTAATGCTCAAATCGTCTTAGCCTGGCTACAAACTATGCCTCATATTTTAAAACCCTTTGTAGCTAATCGAGTAGTTAAAATAATTGAGCTTACCAATCCTGAAAGCTGGTATTACATAAGCTCTAAAGAGAACTGCGCAGACGCCGCTTCCCGGGGAATGACTCCTCAACAATTATCTACTTTTCCTTCTTGGATTTATGGACCAGAATTCTTATCACAACCGCCTAACAAGTGGCCCCGTCAAAGAACATCTATCCCTGATAGCGATATTCCCGAGAAGCGCAAGGGCAAGATTGTTCTTAATGTGCACACCACTGAAGACGTTCTTTGTAAATTCTCCTCACTTGTTCGACTTCAAAGAGTTTTTGCGTATGTACGACGATTTATCAATAATGCTCGATACCATAATCAACGCAAAACTGGAGCCCTTTCTTTGAATGAACTGCGAGAAGCATTAATATCCTGCGTTTTCATCGTTCAGCGACATTACTATGTTGACATCATTGAGAAACTCAAGAATAACATATCTATACCCACAGCTTTATCAAAATTGTCACCATTCTTGGATACAGCTGGGCTCCTCAGGGTGGGCGGACGTCTACGTCATTCTTATCTTCCATTTGAACAAAAACATCCACTTCTACTTCCCAAACACTCACATTTGTCTGCTCTTATTTGCGATTTCTATCACCTGTACTCTTTACATTCTGGGCCTTTAACCGTACAAGCTCTTATCTCCCAAAAATTTTGGATAGTTTCCCTGCGTTCTTTATTACGTCAGCGAATACACAGATGTTTAACTTGCCATAGATTCAAGGCAACTCCGGCTCAGCCTATCATGGCAGATCTTCCTGCATATAGAACTCAACTGGTGCGAGCATTTTTACAAGTTGGCACCGATTTCGGCGGACCCTTTCTTGTGAAAGAAAGTAAACGCCGTAGCGCCCGAATCTATAAAGGGTATTTATGCTTATTTGTTTGCATGAGCACCAAAGCCACTCATCTCGAATTTGTCACTGAGCTTTCTACTTCTGCCTTTTTAGCTGCCTTTGATCGATTTGTATCACGACGTGGCCTTCCTCAAACCATTTATTCCGATTGTGGACGAAACTATATTGGAGCAGCAAACTATTTAAAGGAAATAACCAGATTTTTACATGAACATAAGGATCAAATTTTCTCCTCCTTGTCGGCCAAACAAATAAACTGGAATTTCAACCCTCCCACTGCATCCAACTTCGGCGGAATTTGGGAGGCTGGAATAAAATCCGCTAAAAACCTCCTGAAGCGACTTATCAAAGATACAGCACATACCTTCGAGGAATATACAACTTTATTCGCTCGTATAGAAGCCACATTGAACAGCCGACCATTATGTTCAGTTTCTTTCGACCCCATGGAAAACATTGATTATTTGAGTCCTGGACATTTCCTTATAGGATCACCGCTACTTTCTCCTCCCGAACCCGATATACCAGGAAACATAACTTTTAAATGCCGTTGGCAGCGCCTTCGTCAACTTTTCCAACAGTTTTGGCGTCGTTGGACGCAAGAATACCTACATACACAAACTCAAAGGCGCAAATGGCACCGTAGTGCACCTAACATTCAAGAAGGTGACGTCGTATTCATGTGTGGAATCAATACTCATCCATTATCATGGCCTATTGGTCGTGTTGAAACAGTCCAGCCTGGACCCGACGGAGTTGTCCGGGTCGTGAGAGTTAGGACTGCTTCAGGACAATATATTCGTCCCGTTAACAAACTCGTGACTTTACCCCCTCAGTAAAGTCTCCCCCTTTTTCTTTTTCTCCTTTATTTTTTCCCCTTTCTTTTCAGAATTCTCCTTTATTTTCTTTTTTCAGTAGTTATTATCTTTGGGATCTATTATCAATTCTTTATGTACTTGGTTATCATTCAACCGTCCCTAGAATTTATTCTCATTTTCCTAAAATTTTCCCCGAAAATTTGGTGGGCGGTTATGTTAGCGCCATCTATCGGCGGCATAACAGAGAGAGAGAGAGCGGTGCGCGGTTTTAAGAGTACGAGTACGACCCTTTGACGTTTAACGTGCGCGTGCAATAAGGGACGCGTAGAAAAAGACACGAGGTGAAACCCGCTGGCGCCAGCAGAAGACGCAAGACAACCACCCCGAGTCTCATCCTCTTCTCCAAGAAAACTCATCCACCAGGTAGGATTTTCATCCCTCTTATATTTCTTCATCTCAACTCAAATAAATTGGCTAGTTGCCTCGCTCGCAACATGTATTTTTGTCGATTTTTATTGAATTTGAACTATATTTCAACGATTTTTGATGGTTCTGAGCCACCAAACACACTTAAAGCATGCAGAATCGACTCAGAATAGGAAAAGGAGACGTTTAGGTCAATTTTATGCATTCTGGCGTTCGTAGGGTATCTGAGTGGCTTAAAAGTACAAGAAAACACTTCAAAAGTGACGTTTCTGAAGAATTTTAACAGTTTTCTTGTATCTACGAACGCCAGAATGCATAAAATTGAACTAAACGTCTCCTTTTCCTATTCTGAGTCGATTCTGCATGCTTTAAGTGTGTTTGGTGGCTCAGAACCATCAAAAATCGTTGAAATATAGTTCAAATTCAATAAAAATCGACAAAAATACAGTTTCTAGCTAAAATTTGATGGTTTCGTTGCACTTTCCGAGCCCGTTGGGTATCTGAGTGGCTTAAAAGTACAAGAAAACACTTCAAAAGTGACGTTTCTGAAGAATTTTAACAGTTATCTTGTATCTACGAACGCCAGAATGCATAAAATTGATCTAAACGTCTCCTTTTCCTATTCTGAGTCGATTCTGCATGTTTTAAGTGTGTTTGGTGGCTCAGAACCATCAAAAATCGTTGAAATATAGTTCAAAAAGTGACGTTTCTGAAGAATTTTAACAGTTTTCTTGTATCTACGAACGGCAGAATGCATAAAATTGACCTAAACGTGTCCTTTGCCTATTCTGAGTCGATTCTGCATGCTTTAAGTGTGTTTGGTGGCTCAGAACCATCAAAAATCGTTGAAATATAGTTCAAATTCAATAAAAATCGACAAAAATAAAGTTTCTAGCTAAAATTTGATGGTTTCGTTGCACTTTCCGAGCCCGTAGGGTACCTGAGTGGCTTAAAAGTACAAGAAAACACTTCAAAAGTGACGTTTCTGAAGAATTTTAACAGTTTTCTTGTATCTACGAACGCCAGAATGCATAAAATTGACCTAAACGTCTCCTTTTCCTATTCTGAGTCGATTCTGCATGCTTTAAGTGTGTTTGGTGGCTCAGAACCATCAAAAATCGTTGAAATATGGTTCAAATTCAATAAAAATCGACAAAAATACAGTTTCTAGCTAAAATTTGATGGTTTCGTTGCACTTTCCGAGCCCGTCGGGTATCTGAGTGGCTTAAAAGTACAAGAAAACACTTCAAAAGTGACGTTTCTGAAGAATTTTAACAGTTTTCTTGTATCTACGAACGCCAGAATGCATAAAATTGACCTAAACGTCTCCTTTTCCTATTCTGAGTCGATTCTGCATGCTTTAAGTGTGTTTGGTGGCTCAGAACCACCAAAAATCGTTGAAATATAGTTCAAATTCAATAAAAATCGACAAAAATACAGTTTCTAGCTAAAATTTGATGGTTTCGTTGCACTTTCCGAGCCCGTAGGGTATCTGAGTGGCTTAAAAGTACAAGAAAACACTTCAAAAGTGACGTTTCTGAAGAATTTTAACAGTTATCTTGTATCTACGAACGCCAGAATGCATAAAATTGATCTAAACGTCTCCTTTTCCTATTCTGAGTCGATTCTGCATGCTTTAAGTGTGTTTGGTGGCTCAGAACCATCAAAAATCGTTGAAATATAGTTCAAAAAGTGACGTTTCTGAAGAATTTTAACAGTTTTCTTGTATCTACGAACGGCAGAATGCATAAAATTGACCTAAACGTGTCCTTTGCCTATTCTGAGTCGATTCTGCATGCTTTAAGTGTGTTTGGTGGCTCAGAACCATCAAAAATCGTTGAAATATAGTTCAAATTCAATAAAAATCGACAAAAATAAAGTTTCTAGCTAAAATTTGATGGTTTCGTTGCACTTTCCGAGCCCGTAGGGTACCTGAGTGGCTTAAAAGTACAAGAAAACACTTCAAAAGTGACGTTTCTGAAGAATTTTAACAGTTTTCTTGTATCTACGAACGCCAGAATGCATAAAATTGACCTAAACGTCTCCTTTTCCTATTCTGAGTCGATTCTGCATGCTTTAAGTGTGTTTGGTGGCTCAGAACCATCAAAAATCGTTGAAATATAGTTCAAATTCAATAAAAATCGACAAAAATACAGTTTCTAGCTAAAATTTGATGGTTTCGTTGCACTTTCCGAGCCCATAGGGTATCTGAGTGGCTTAAAAGTACAAGAAAACACTTCAAAAGTGACGTTTCTGAAGAATTTTAACAGTTTTCTTGTATCTACGAACGCCAGAATGCATAAAATTGACCTAAACGTCTCCTTTTCCTATTCTGAGTCGATTCTGCATGCTTTAAGTGTGTTTGGTGGCTCAGAACCATCAAAAATCGTTGAAATATAGTTCAAATTCAATAAAAATCGACAAAAATACAGTTTCTAGCTAAAATTTGATGGTTTCGTTGCACTTTCCGAGCCTGTAGGGTATCTGAGTGGCTTAAAAGTACAAGAAAACACTTCAAAAGTGACGTTTCTGAAGAATTTTAACAGTTTTCTTGTATCTACAAACGCCAGAATGCATAAAATTGACCTAAACGTCTCCTTTTCCTATTCTGAGTCGATTCTGCATGCTTTAAGTGTGTTTGGTGGCTCAGAACCATCAAAAATCGTTGAAATATAGTTCAAATTCAATAAAAATCGACAAAAATACAGTTTCTAGCTAAAATTTGATGGTTTCGTTGCACTTTCCGAGCCCGTAGGGTATCTGAGTGGCTTAAAAGTACAAGAAAACACTTCAAAAGTGACGTTTCTGAAGAATTTTAACAGTTTTCTTGTATCTACGAACGCCAGAATGCATAAAATTGACCTAAACGTCTCCTTTTCCTATTCTGAGTCGATTCTGCATGCTTTAAGTGTGTTTTAAGCCACTCAGATACCCTACGGGCTCGGAAACTGCAACGAAACCATCAAATTTTAGCTAGAAACTGTATTTTTGTCGATTTTTATTGAATTTGAACTATATTACAACGATTTTTGATGGTTCTGAGCCCCCAAACACACTTAAAGCATGCAGAATCGACTCAGAATAGGAAAAGGAGACGTTTAGGTCAATTTTATGTATTCTGGCGTTCGTAGATACAAGAAAACTGTTAAAATTCTTCAGAAACGTCACTTTTGAAGGGTTTTCTTGTACTTTTAAGCCACTCAAATACCCGACGGGCTCGGAAAGTGCAACGAAACCATCAAATTTTAGCTAGAAACTGTATTTTTGTCGATTTTTATTGAATTTGAACTATATTTCAACGATTTTTGATGGTTCTGAGCCACTAAACACACTTAAAGTATGCAGAATCGACTCAGAATAGGAAAAGGAGACGTTTAGGTCAATTTAATGCATTCTGGCGTTCGTAGATACAAGAAAACTGTTAAAATTCTTCAGAAACGTCACTTTTGAAGTATTTTCTTGTACTTTTAAGCCACTCAGATACCCTACGGGCTCGGAAAGTGCAACGAAACCATCAAATTTTAGCTAGAAACTGTATTTTTGTCGATTTTTATTGAATTTGAACTATATTTCAACGATTTTTGATGGTTCTGAGCCACCAAACACACTTAAAGCATGCAGAATCGACTCAGAATAGGAAAAGGAGACGTTTAGGTCAATTTTATGCATTCTGGCGTTCGTAGATACAAGAAAACTGTTAAAATTCTTCAGAAACGTCACTTTTGAAGTGTTTTCTTGTAATTTTAAGCCACTCAGATACCCTACGGGCCCGGAAAGTGCAACGAAACCATCAAATTTTAGCTAGAAACTGTATTTTTGTCGATTTTTATTGAATGTGAACTATATTTCAACGATTTTTGATGGTTCCGAGCCACCAGACACACGTAAAGCATGCAGAATCGACTCAGAATAGGAAAAGGAGATGTTAAGGTCAATTTTATGCATTCTGGCGTTCGTAGATACAAGAAAACTGTTAAAATTCTTCAGAAACGTCACTTTTGAAGTGTTTTCTTGTACTTTTAAGACACTCAGATACCCTACGGGCTCGGAAAGTGCAACGAAACCATCAAATTTTAGCTAGAAACTGTATTTTTGTCGATTTTTATTGAATTTGAACTATATTTCAACGATTTTTGATGGTTCTGAGCCACCAAACACACTTAAAGCATGCAGAATCGACTCAGAATAGGAAAAGGAGACGTTTAGGTCAATTTTATGCATTCTGGCGTTCGTAGATACAAGAAAACTGTTAAAATTCTTCAGAAACGTCACTTTTCAAGTGTTTTCTTGTACTTTTAAGCCACTCAGATACCCGATGGGCTCGGAAAGTGCAACGAAACCATCAAATTTTAGCTAGAAACTGTATTTTTGTCGATTTTTATTGAATTTGAACTATATTTCAACGATTTTTGATGGTTCTGAGCCACCAAACACACTTAAAGCATGCAGAATCGACTCAGAATAGGAAAAGGAGACGTTTAGGTCAATTTTATGCATTCTGGCGTTCGTAGATACAAGAAAACTGTTAAAATTCTTCAGAAACGTCACTTTTGAAGTGTTTTCTTGTACTTTTAAGCCACTCAGATACCCTACGG